GCTTTTGGTTTATATATATTTTTTTCACATTTTTGTGAAAATCAGCTGATCTTATAAAATAAGTTGCCTTTTTTTCTTTCTGTGAAACAGCAGCGGCAGCTCTCCTGCCTACCTTTGAACATGCAGGTGCCTGTCTTTTTCTCCTTTTCCTAATAAACCTGCTCTTTTAAAGTGTGAAAAAAAATTTGCCATTTTACCTTAAGAATAGATTTTTCCCCATACATCTATATCTGCCTCATTTTTATGCTGTGTAAATATTCCAACATGTGGAAATAACAGGACATATTTAATGAAAGTCCAACTGATGGACATTTAGACTGAAAGAAATTTGTTTTTGAGCAATGACTTATAGTGAGTATCTTTATATGGTTGTGTATAAGTCTGAGTATAAATTCCTAGGCATGGACCAAAAAATATATACATTTTACATTTCATGAACATAACTGACATTTGTTGCATATATTCTATAAGCTAGAAAAAACTTATTCAAAGATTAGTAAATCCTCACAGAAGCCTTTTGAAATAATCTCAAACATTACATACAAGGAAATTGAGGCCCAAAAGGTTGTAAAGTAAAACTTGTGCCCAAGGTCATAAATGGTGGAGCTGGGATTTTAACTTGGGTATGTTCTAACTGCAGAAAAACCTGGACTTGACCCTTTTACGATTTTATTTCAGAAGGCCATACCCAGTTAGTCTCCCTTTAGAACTTTGAGGGTGCCCATTTATCCACAACTTCAGTCCTATATATTTCCCAGAATTGGCATTTTACTTTATTGCCTGAGAATGTCCACTTTGACTATGGAGACCAAAGGAAGTTTATATAACAAGTAAGAAGCATTAAGTTAACTCTAGATAAGTTAGTAACTAGTAAGACTGGATTTGACTAAGCAGAGCACGTGTGTACACAGCATAGAAACACATGGAGGAGCTAGAGGGCTTAAAACTCTTATTTGGTCTAACATTAAATAGCCTTACTGCCACCCCACATAAATTCTACCAGGTGGTAAAAGTCAATTCCATAGCTGCTCTCAAGCTGAAGAGGGCTACTTCTGTGGCCAGTGCATCCTTTGGTGTCTCACAGAGCAATCTGGGCCATGCGGTCCAGCCACATTCCTTTTGCAGGATGCAGGCCCTCGCTCATGCAGGCCTTCTCCGCCTCAGCCCCTACCTAGTCTTGTAACCACTCTCTCTAGGCCTCTTGCATCTAAGTGCGTTAGGCGCGACAGCCTGGTTCTCCAGGCCTCCTAGCATCTGACTGACCCGTGTGGACTTTTGTTGGCTGGCCTACTTGCTAGTCTATTTGGAGGTAGTGACCACTGCAGGAGGCTCTTCAGTTTCGGAATCCTCAAGGGCAAGTTTCCAGGACCCCAGGTGGCACCAACCGCCCGGGAACCGCGACCAGCCATTTCTTCTTTTCCACCAGGTTTCACTTCAACCTCACCCTGAGGAACCTATTCAAATGCCCACATTTTGATATCCTTACACGAGCTAACTTCCTGCGCCAGAAGCCTTTGTCTACCCTAATTGGTTTCTTTATTTAACAAATATCCTTTATCTCCCGCCAGAGGCAAAACTCTCGAGGCCCCAGGAGGCAAGCAGTATTTACCGCTGGCCCTTCCCCCCCTTCCTGCATGTCTGGCAGGAGTCGGTCTCCACCTTTGGGGTCGCGGTCAAAGGTTGTTTTTTCCCTGCAGACAACAAGTTTTCTGAATAGGATGACTCAGAGCAGAATTAAACTTGTCTTTTGCCCTGAGCATTGGGTGCTTGAAATTCAGTCAGACCCATACTCATCCCACTCTTGACTGCCTGGAAACTCAATACAGGGTGCAGTTTTCCTCCCGGTACAAACTGAAACGGAAATGCAAGAGGAAGACTAAAATCAAGTGAATTTTAAAAGCTAAAATATAACAAACTAAAATGACACTATAAGTAACAAACCCCTTCTCCTTTGGTAAGGAGAACGGAAAGTTAAGGTTTTTGAAAGGATATGAAAAGATGGAGTTTGGCTGGTTAATAATTTACCTTTTACCTTATTTCCAGCTATCACGATACTAATTTATATGCTTGGTGACTAGTGACCCTCCCCCCAAAAAAAGGTGGGGGGGGTAAGCGAAAAGGTTTTAAATTGAATTTTAATTTCTAATTCTTTTCGGCAGCGTTTACAAGTTATGGTGGCTTGGTGAAGTTGCTCCACCATTTCAAACTTTATTCTGTGATATTTTAGCCCTTTTGGTATAACTACGTATACATACAGACTACATGCGGTAAAACAGTCATTGTGGCCTGTACTTTCAATAAATCAGCACAAAAGGGTAGCCAATCCCAACAGTGTGCAATTCCAAGTCAATTTTGTTTATATTCTTACGCAGAAAAACAAATTGCAGAACAAAATGCATGATGTAATCCCTTATCGGACAGAAAATGTGTTACAATTTGTGTCCCGTGTGATTAAGGAAATGTCTAGAACCCAAATTAAGTGATGCTGAGGAAGCGAACTTCACACAATGATCTTGTTTTAATATTTTCATGTATAGCTTTAAGGGAATAACAAAGTCATATTAGGTGTTAGACTGAATCAAAAAGCTTTATTTTTCCCTTGTTCGAATACCTGAATTCCACTCTATTCTTCATATCCTTGTTTTGATAGAGAATATTTGACAAAGATTTAAATAAAATAAGGAATCAGTTTTTTAATTTATCGGTTAAAACTTCCACAGATGTATCCAAATTCTGACTTACAGAAAACTTGAAAATATGCCAAGTCAAAGAGCTAGCTTTAAGAGAATGTCTGTAATAATCCTGCTACAACATATCCAATTAAATTCAAACCACCCCATATTATGTTAGAAAAGAGTGTTCTCTTCAATATATACACTAAAGTATCTGTAGGAATATATTCTGAACTATTGTTTATCACTGAATAGAAATGACTAAATTCACTTTGGCCCCTCTCCCTGTCCTATAACAATAGCAAGGACTTGTTTTGCCATCAAAAGATCCTGTTAGAAAATTAGGTCAACACTTTTTAGTCTCTTGATGGTTGTTCATAACTCGCCCTCTGCCTAGGTTTTCCTTCTTCACCCTAAATATCCACTGACTGATAGAAGGAATGATAAATGACTTTTCTAAAAAAGGCTCATTTCCAAAAACAAAGAAAATGAACATCACAAATCCATCTTTTCTATCTTGTTTTCCTCTCAAGTATCTAGCATGTTTTAAACGTAAGGGCTTCTGTCCTTTTGTGTCACTAACCATTCCTAAATTTCTAGCCACTCTGGGTCTATTGCCAAAGTCTTACAGTTGAACTTAATTCCAAGCAGTTAGACTGCACGGTTAAGTAGTTAAGAGCTGAGCTTGGGGTGTCCTAGGTTGTGTCTTTAACAGCATTATTTTCAAAAGCTTCTAGGCTCTCACAACTTGCTTTCAGACTTTCATTCATTAGGTACATTTAGTTAGAGCCAAGAATTCTGTAAAATAGTCAGATGTGACCTATTGTCTTGAAAAGATTTCAAGTACTTGTTTAATTGTGCAATCAATACTTTCTGTACTATGATTCATTCACAGTTCCTACTGCAAAGTTTGGCACAACACTCAAATACCTGTTGAAAATGAAAGAAATAAATTATCTGACTCTCTTTTGCTAAATATCTAGGGTAATTGAATTGGCCATTTTAGAGCGATAAGGGGAATTTGGGGGAACCACAAGGAAAAAGGCTGGGAAAAGGGCTCTGCTGATGATTCTTTGCTGCCTTAGAAAACTGGAGGTTTCCCTGGGGCAAGAACTAAGTAAAGGGGCCTCCCCTGGTGGCGCAGGCGGTTGAGCACAGTGCTGTGAAGCTGTCCACAGCCTCTGCAGCGCAGGTTCCATCCCCCAGCCAGCCAGCGAGATCACCACGTGGCGCCACAGACCTCTCCTGTCTCCCCTCAGCAGTGTTTCATCAGTCTGCCTGTTCTATTCCCTGCTCAGTCTCTGGTGAATCCTCTCACCCTCTCCCACTTCTGACCTGTACCTGGGTTCTTGTATAAATAAATAAATCTTTAAAAAAATAAAGAGTAATGACAGTGCGCCCATCCAGGGCTTGCATCGCTCAACCCATAATAGGGGAGTTAAGAAAGGACTCCTAAAAATTTCAAACTCACCTTAGAATTTTCTTGTATATTGCTTTCTGATCCAATTTTGTTAAGTGTTGTCATATATGCATTTATAATGCATTTATAGACTTGTACATTTTAAGAGATTAAATTGTGCTTTTGTAATTTGCAAATCTAACAGTGCCCTAAAAAATAAGAGCTGGCACTTAGAAATTCCTTTGAGGTTTTTTGGGGGGAATAGAAAGGATTTATTGAAATATGCTGGAACAATGGGCAAGACTTGAGAGGTTATGGCTTGAGTGAACTTTCTTAACACTCTTTGACTCTCCCCTGCTGCCCTTTCATTTAGCCTCTTGACACAGGTCAAGAGTTCTGCTTATCTCTTTCCTATCCAGATTCTTCCAGATATGGTACTCCCAGCCACATTCAGCACAAATAACCACACTTCCCTCGCACTATACACCGGGTTATCTTCCTTTACTCAATTTTAAGATAGCAGCTCTGGGGCCTCCCTGGTGGTGCAAGGGGTTAAGACACAACCTATGAAGCTATCAGCAGCCAGGGAAGAGACCCACAAGTTGCAGCAGACCTCTCCTGACTCACCTGCTTCTCCCCTCAGCAGTGTATTTCAGTCAATCTGCCTGTTTTGTTCCCCACTCTGTCTCTGGTGAACCCTCTCACCCTCCACACCTCTGGCTGGTACCCCAGTGCTTGTATGCATAAATAAATAAATCTTAAAAAAATAAAATAGTAGCTCTCCTCTCTCATGGTCAGAAAATTTCAGTTAACTTCCCTGCCTCACGTTTCCCTCCCCCTCCCATCAGAAATGTATAAGATCCAAGTTTAGCTGAAATTTTACTCATTGAACCACTGAATGAAGTCAGGGTGGAGACAATTAATGGCAAAATAAACATCTTTTATTTGTGCTTATATAGTCTAAACCAACTAAGCCAAGGGGTACTGTCATCAGGATGCATCAACACAAAACAACTTTCTAAAATATGCACAAACAAATTAGGGGGTATAATAACACAGAACCAAGTGGACAGAGGTAATCAATGAAGCACATCATAACTTAACCCTTCACCTTAACAACTGAGGTTTTTAACTAGTCTCCCAATCCCAGAAAAGAATCCTTCATATTACATAGCTTTGTGTTTTAGCTTCCTATTTTTGAGGTTAGATACTAGATCCCAAAGATATTCAGACAAGTATCATATCTAGATATCTATAGTAGAGACAACTTTTATGATGCCCTGCAGTCGAGCCCTCAGAAACCTCTGAAACTTCGGATTCAGTATTCAAATGTGCAGCCCCCACCTCACCCCACCCTACCCCCTCACACTCGTTGGCACACTAGGCATGTTGAGAACCAGGCTATAAAGGCAGAAATACAGAACTCTTAAAAGAAAAATCCTAGGAGAAGTAACAGCCACTGCCCAAATTGAGGATATATAAATATACCCATCTTCACACATCTTCAGACTGTGCATTCATGGAATAATTCGGGAATAAATCCATGATTTGCTGGGTACTAAAATACTTAGTGGGTGGCTGTATAATGTTATGGTTTTCCCCACAAATTTCCAAGGTGGCCTCCAAATCACTGAGAGAGAAATTTTGTTGGAGCTGGAGCAAGGGTGGCAGGGGGTCCTCCCCAGAGCTGAGGAATGGACTGTTCCAGGTCTGATGGTTCCAGCTCTGGTTGTTCCAAGGCTGAGCACACCAGGGCTGGTTGCTCCAGGGCTGGCTGCCCCAAGGTGGGTTACTCCAGGTCTGGTTGCTCCATATTGGAAGGCTTTCAGGAGCGTTCATCAGGCAACCCTGGTGATAGGAATAGAGGCTGGTGTAGTCTGTAGGTGCCGAGAGCTTCTGAAAGAGAATGGTGGATTAACTAAGTGTTGGAGGAAAATCAGAATTGTCTGTGGTTGGGGTGGTCTGCTTCAGCAATGGACAACAATGAACGGTCATTGTAAGGAAAGCGAAAAAATAAATGCTTCCTCATACCTGAGTCACACCGCTCTTTGGCCAGCTGCTCCTCTGCCACCTCTTACATTTCATTCTCTGATTTTGGAACCAGGTCTTTACCTGCAGAAAAAAAGGTTTAACACTAAAACATAAAAATACTAGTATAGTGCAAATGTGCTAGGGATGGAAGAATATTTGTTAACATTTTTTCCCTGGAAACTACAAGTATCTAAAGCTCAGGAACAAAAATTGAATTCTGGAGTCCTTTGTACCAAAGTCGTTAAACTAGCATTGGCTGAATAGAATTGCAAGTCCCTCAAGTCAGGTGACTGTTTTTTGTTTAATAAATCTAACAGATTAAGTTCTCATTCAAGTGTCTACTCATCCCCCTTTTCAAAGGGTTCACCGCTCATACCAGTCACAGTTAAAGGTAAGGTATTTTTTTATTACTTATTTATTTTTTAGGTTTTCTTTTAAAGGTAAGTTTTAATTAAAACTCTCCCATACAGGGCCTCCCCAGGGGCGCAGCGGTTGAGCGCTGGGTTGCGAAGCTGCCCGCAGCCTCTGCAGCGCTGGTTAGTTCCCCTAGTTCCCCGGCCGCCGGTGAGAGGCTCCCACAAGGCGCGCAGACCTCTCCTGCCGCCCGCTGCTCCCCACAGCAGTGTACTTCGGTCCTTCTGCCTGCTCTGCTCCCTGCTCTGGCTCTGGCTCTGGTGTACCCAGTGCTTGTATAAATAAATCTTTAAAAAGGAAAAAAAAAATAAAAATGATACAATAAATTAAAAAAAAAAAAAGAAAAATACCGGATGATCTCAGTCATAACAGTAATTTAGAAAACCTAAACAAGGGACCAGGAAAAAGACTATAATTATAATAAAGTAAAAATCAAAATCGACAACTATAAACCAGAGACACAGGGGGAGAGAAGGAATTAGGGTTAAAATAAGGGGGGTGGGAATTGTATGGGAAATATAACCAAGATAAAAATGCATACATTGTGCAAAAATGAAAAATTGTGTAAAAAATATATAATATAACATAAAATAAAGAATATGAAATGTTAAAAATTTGTTTCCAGGTCCCCCTCCCCAAAAAAAAGATTCTCCCATCTAAGCACATTACTTGTATTTAAACTGATAATGGTGGGCCTCCCCGGTGGCGCTGCGGGTTGCGAAGCTGCCTGCCGCCTCTGCAGCGCTGGTTGGATCCCCGGCTGCTGCTCCCTGCTGCTCCCCGGCCACCAGAGGAGGGTCCCACATGGCACTCAGACCTCTCCTGCCGCCCGCTGCTCCCCTCAGCAGTGTACTTAGGTCCTTCTGCCTGCTCTGCTCCCCGCTCTGGCTCTGGTGAATTCTTTCACCCTCCCGCGCTTCTGACTGTACCCAGTGCATGTATAAATAAATAAACAAACAAACAAAAAATAAACTGATAATGGTAAGATATATACTAGGACAACTATTTAGAAAATAGCAAGTCATATTGTAGCACAAAATAAACTGAAATTTCCCAGTGGTTCATAAGATCACAAAATGGGAAGGAAAAAAAATGTATGTATTACAAAAGATGGAATAGGACTTCCTAAATGGGGCATTAGTGATAGAAAAACATATTTGACTGAATAAAATGGTCAATAAATACAGAAATAATGATTAGTTTCATTAGTAATTGAATATACACAGATAAATGCAAAAGATTCCAATTTTACTCAAAATGCAAAATCCATTGTTAGCTTGGGACTCTCCTCACCTGGAAGATGCAAGATTGGCTTTTAATAATTAAGGAAAAACTAAAAACATTTCACAATTTTGGTTTGTGCAAGGGTAATTGGTTCAGTAAATCATGACATTTACACAATACTGAATGAAAGATGATCATGAAATGTTACAAAGGTGATATTTTTATATTAAAATTATTAGTGGGGCCTCCCTGGTGGTACAAGGGGTTAAGTTTCAGCACTACGAAGCTATGAGCAGCCACTGCAGCAAGAGTTCAATCCTGGCCAGGGAGCTAACCCACCTGGTGCAGCAGACTTCTCCTGTCTCCCTCCCTATCCTCCTCAGCAGTGTATTTCAGTAGATCAGCCTGTCCTGCCCTGCTCCCCACTCTTGTCTCTGGTGAATCCTCTCACCAACGTGGCACCACACCCCCTGCACCTCTGGCCTACACCCAGCTCTTGTATGCGTACATAAATAAAATAAATCTTTAAAAAAAAATAAAAAAGAGGGCCTCCCTGGTGATGCAGGGGGTTAAGCACCGCACTGTGAAGCAATCCACAGCACTATGAAGCAATCCACAGCCTCTGCAGCAGATCCCGGGGAGGGAGCTACCCACAAGGTGCAGCAGACCTCTCCTGTCTCCCCCTCAGCAGTGTATTTCAGTCAATCTGCCTGCTCTGCTCCCCACTCTGTCTCTGGTGAATTCTCTCACCCCCCACATCTCTGGCCTTGTACCCCAGCTATTGTATGCATAAATAAATAAATATTTAAAAATTTTAAAAATAAAAATAAAATTATTAAGGGTTACATCAACACATAATACATAGAAAGGTACTAGCAACCCTCACCTGCAAAGTTGCCTTATTTCATTTCTTTTTTTTTTTAAAGATTTATTTATTTATTTATACAAGCACTGGGTACAGTCAGAAGCGCGGGAGGGTGAGAGAATTCACCAGGCCAGAGCGGGGAGCAGAGCAGGCAGAAGGACCGAAGTACACTGCTGAGGGGAGCAGCGGGCGGCAGGGGAGGTCTGCGCGCCATGTGGGACCCTCCTCCGGTGGCCTGGCCGGGAGCAGCCGGGGATCGAACCGGCACCGCAGAGGCTGACGGGCAGCTTCGCAACCCAGCGCTCAACCGCTGCGCCACCAGGGAGGCCCCCTTATTTCATTTCTTATGCAATAACAACAGCAGCACAAACCCACCTGTTTGTAACTGAGGTTCAGGAGACTGGAAAGTTCTTGCATCTGCTGAAGGCTGAGGTATTTCTGTCTTTGAAATCTGTCATTGAGCACATACAGCTGGGTCTGTGAGAACACAGTTCTGCTCTTCTGTTTCTTGACCGGGACCCTATCTTCCCTCTTCCCTGTGTTGTTCTCTCCAGAAGTGGAGAGGAGTTTGACTCTGGGACTGGTGGAAGAATCAGGGCTGTCCTGAATAAGCAGATCCATGGAGGAAGGAAGAGGAGAGACTGTTGGGAATAAAATGACACTTTTCTCTAAAACTTCTCAGGTATTAAATTATATTGACAAGCTTTACTGTTTCCAAAGCACTTATGAAGTCCTCACAGCTGGGTGGTAACAATTTCACCCTTAAGTGACCCTGAACACTGAAAATCTGTGTACAATGCCAATCTAAAAAATGATCAACCTCACCAATTTGACAGACAAGCTAATGTCATAAATTGTTGGGAATCAGGATAGATCCAAGTCTCTTCCGACAACTGCATTTTAAGCAGAGCCCACACCTTGGCAATTCATAAAGATCAGAATGATTGCTTGACTCCCACACCTGTGTCCCTCCCAAAACCTCCTTTTTGTGGGGTTAATCATCACCTCCAGATTATGTTAAACTACACGCTAAACAGATTCTGGGGAGCATATAAAGTCACATTTACTCCCAAGTTCTAAATTATGAGTGGGGAGGGGGACTGGAGTGCTATCCCCGGCTAGGGAACTAACCCACCTGGGGCAGAACTCTCCTGTCTTGACTGCTGCTCCACTCAATACTGTATTTCAGTAGATATACCTGTTCTGCTCCCCACTCTTTCTGGTGAATCTTCTCAACCCCCATACCTCTCCTTACACCCCAGTTCTTATATGCATAAATAAATAAATCTTTGCCCTTTTTTTTTTTTTTAGCATTTTAAAAAGACACTATTAGGAAAAGAGGAGCAACTGCATAGCCACAGGCAGGCAGAGAAGTTGCCTACCTACTGATATTCTGAGACTTTATTCATCTGTGATCTCTCTTCAAAATTATTCCTCCCTCATGTAATTTTACTGACTTAAGAGCTAGAAGTTGTCTAGCCTGGGACTGGGCATACATTGTTTTTGCAACTCGTAAAAAATTAATTTCCTATACTGTCTAGACTTAGCCACTTACATTCTTATCTGCACAGGTATTCCCACCTCCAATTCCTTTCTAGTCATAGAATAAATGGACAGCCTTCAAAAAGCAAAAGTCACCACATGCTTCTTGAAAGAAATCTAAGGAAGAAAAAAATCCCTCTACTAATGACTGTAAGTGGGGTTTATAGCATAAAAACAGGCAATCTATTAACTTCATTTGACTTGCTGAAGTAGGCATGTCCACTTGCTCATTGCCAATCCAAGCTGTACTTGAAGCATTTGAACTAAGCACTTATTGTGCTTATGTATTCCTTCTCCACAATTGGAATCAAATCATTTTGTTATTTTATACCATAAATATTAAAAATTAGTATTCTTGGTTTAAATTTGACTTTTTCATACTTTTATTTCAGAATTAACATTAACTTCAAGTAAACAACATACTCAGTATTTGTATTGATTACGAAATGATCACATCAAATCTAGTTAACATCAGTTACCATAGTTATATTTTTCCTGCCATGAAAATGTTTAAGATCCATTTTTGTAACAATTTCCAAACATGCAATGCAGTACTTACTATAGTCGCTATACTATATATAATACATTGCACATCCATGACTTGTAACTGTAAGTTTATACCTTTTGACCATCTAACCTTTAACAATTACTAAGTTGGATTTTTTTTTTTTTAAAGTGGTACCAATTTTACAGTATTCCAACACCCCACACACGCCACTTTAGAAGCCTAATTACTAGGGTATGGGTTTAAGTCAAACTGGGTTTCAAATCTGAACTTTTGCCACGGGCTGTCAGCAGATAATACCTCCTGTAATTATCTTTACCATAAAATGGGGAGATGCCTTAGGACTTAGAGGACACTTGAGTGTAGCAGCTGCTTACAAACTCAGAGGTGCCCAGGAACACCCACACATTCACAGGGTGTGAGAAGAATCTATGGCTAATTTTGTAGAAAGGTTAACATTTCAACAAGGTGAGATTCATACCGTGAGCCTTGCGTTTCTGGTACTCCTAGAGTAATGGGCAAACCAAAAGGTGATGCTCACACACGCCCCTCCCAAGCTGTGATGGTGTCTTCTGGCTTAACAGTAACATTTCCTAGTACTGCGTTTGTGTGCCCAGCAACATTCTAAGATTTACACATCAACTCAATCATCATAACGCATCGTGTTTCTACAGTGCCTACACATGTTAACTCACGATGGAACGGTCCCTGTCTCTAGTCTCTCAGTCCACAGCTCCCGACCTGGGACACTCACCAAGTTACAAGTGAGAGAGGAATTGAGGGTTAGTAGACACTTGCTTATGTTAATGGACTTTAATTGCTCAAAATAAGTGGAAGGCCCTTAGCTCCCCCCACCCCCTTTTTCCTCCTTTCTTTTAAGGAACTTAGGCTTTCAAGGACTCAATTTTGTCTTACCATTCTCCATGTGGGGCATCTCAGCGGAGGGCTGAAGCAAGGATGAATAATTTTCTTCAGATTCATAAACCTCAGGCATTGGCGAAGACTCTCCAGAATTGGATGTTTCTGGGCAAGGCAGGCTTTGGGGACTAACTGGATCCATGCTCATGTTGTAGAGTTGAAGGAGAGGGGAAAAAACCAAAGAGCTAGATTGTCTGAAAGACCCAGGTTTAAGTGTCTAGGAGGAAGAGCTTAAGAGAAATATCACAACTTCTATAGGTGTAAAAACATTCAAAAAAGAGGGGGTGAAGTGAGCCCACACAGCAGTAAGAGGAGCCAAGAAACCTAATGTAGCAAAAGATGGAAGTTTTGGAGTCTCTAGATTTATAAATAAGATTCAGCCATCCTTAGGCCCGCCCCTCCGGGCTGCCCCACGCCCACACACACCCTTTCAAATTCTCAGTTAATCCTGTCTGCCAGCCTCCCCAAGGCCATTGTAATGGAAAAGGTAGCTGCCGGGTAACCCAGACTGGGTGGGGTACTAAAAAACTGGGACCTCGGAACCTGGGGACAGAATAAACCCAGAGAACTTCTGGGTTCGCCATGTTTCCACTTTAAAAATAAAAGATGCTCCTCCATTTCGTGGGGGCGATGGAAATTTCCATTAAGATGATCAATGCTTGGTTGAAGACCCCAGAGAGTTGCAATCTCTAGCTGTGATAGAAACTTCAACTCGTTCCCCTTTGCTCTTTGATTCACCTTAAGAGCACAATAAAACACATATTGCATGTACCTAAGGCATCGGCGGATGTTAGAAATAGAACTGAAGTCCACCTCCTCGCACTTCAGTTCTTTCTTGCTGCTTTTGAAAGCCAGGCAAATCTTTCCACTAGAACTGTGGGCTTTCTTTTTAACAAAAGCAGAGAAAAGGAACTGCAGTCCTCTAACCAAAGACACTGCAGTGCCCTGGGAATAATTTTAATATACCACTATTATGGAAGATATAAAATTAGATTTTAGACTCAGCACATTGGATGAGAATCTAGACTCAGCCACTTGAATGAATCCCAGGCTCATCTGTAGATAAGGATGAAAATACCTTCACTACACAGTAAAAATTAAAGTGTCAAATATTATGAATGTGTTGTTCACAATATCTTAAAACACCAATGGTCTACAAACAGTAGTAGTTAGTAGAAATTCTGTCGGGATCCTATGTCTATGACTTCCAACTCTGAAGTTACCTATTTGTTGTGATTGTTATCTTAATCCAGCCAACAGCAGGCTAAAATGAAAGCACCACCTTCTAATTTCACCAGGGATATAGCTACATGCAAAATAATGAAATTTATTGACCTTTAAACTCAACCTAACAGAGAGGAAAGGAAATCCTCCAGGCAAATCACACTACTGTAAATGGACTTGCCAAAGTGCTTTTGAGAGGTTATTTTCAGGATCTGTGTTTGGCCCCCTGTCAATCTGTCCCTCTCAAGCAGTCATCTTTTTCTGGCTTTCTCCCCTCTGGCTCCTTTCTCTAATTAGTTTTTCTTTCTCTGAGCTTGGCAATGCTGTCCTGTCCTACCTCACACCATTTCCACTTTGCCAATTTTTTTTTTGATATGTTTTCAAAAGTAACTGATTTGTTTTATTTATTTATTTTTTAATTTTATTTATTTATTTATACAAGCACTGGGTACAGTCAGAACAGTCAGAAGCACGGGAGGGTGAGAGAATTCACCAGAGCCAGAGTGGGGAGCAGAGCAGGCAGAAGGACCGAAGTACACTGCTGAGGGGAGCAGCGGGTGGCAGGAGAGGTCCGCACGCCATGTGGGACCCTCCTCCGGTGGCCGGGGAGCAGCCGAGGATCGAACCGGCGCTGCAGAGGCTGTGGGCAGCTTCGCAACCCAGCGCTCAACCGCTGCGCCACCGGGGAGGCCCCAAAAGTAACTGATTTTAGAGCCAGTTTCCAGCACCAATGTATTTATGGACAAAGAACAGTCTACAACACTTTGATTTTCCTCCCCATTCCCAAATTCAGCATCCAAGGTAACTTCTTGTCCACTCTCCTACCTCTAAAGAGCCAACTCTTAGCAAACTCCAATTATGTTTCTGAGATACGACCCTTGACTAATCCTACCAGGCATTTTGCTGCCTGGGTCCCCAGTGGGGCTGCTAGCTTTGCTCCCCTGCCAGATGATTTTTTAAAAAGATTTATTTATTTATTTATTTATACAAGGACTGGGGTGCAGGCCAGAAATACACTGCTGAAGTACACTGAAATACTGAAATACGGGCCTCCCCGGTGGCGCAGCGGTTGAGCGCTGGGTTGCGAAGCTGCCCGCAGCCTCTGCGGCGCCGGTTCGATCCCCGGCTGCTCCCCGGCCACCACAGGAGGGTCCCACATGGCGCGCAGACCTCTCCTGCCGCCCGCTGCTCCCCTCAGCAATGTACTTCGGTCCTTCTGCCTGCTCTGCTCCCCACTCTGGCTCTGGTGAATTCTCTCACCCTCCTGCGCTTCTGACTGTACCCAGTGCATGTATAAACAAAAACAAACAAACAAATAAATAAATAAAAACATGCCTCTATTAAAAAAAAAAAATCTAAAAAAAAAAAAAATACTGAAATACACTGCTGAAGGGAGCAGCCGGCAAGACAGGTGAGGTCTGCCCCGCCGTGTGGGTATCTCCCTGGCCGGCTGGAATCGAACCCACACTGCAGAGGCTGCGGTCAGCTTCACAGCACTGTGCTCAACCACCTGTGCCACCAGGGAGGCCCGCCATATCATTTTTGTCCCCCCCACAAAGACCAAGTTGTGAGCACAGGGAGGAGAGCCCATCCAAAAATGGGGAATGTAACCTATGTAACCTTTTCTTTTTCTCCTCAGACAGTTACGGAGCAGCCATACTTTTCCCCCTACCAAGACCAGTCATTTTGAATGGGGAAAGAGTAGGAATAGGGGCACCCAGGAAGACAAGGAGGGCAGAAACTACACTGTGCTTCAGGCAGTCTCTGCTCCTCAGAGAGCATGGTTTCTTTTGAAGAAGGAATGTGAGGCAATGGATGCTAACTAAACTTACTGTGATGATAACTTCACAGTATACCTGTTAATAAGTCCCTTTTAAGAGCGTGGGTTAGGACCCACAGCCAGGCAACCCATTTTATATCGGGGCTGCTCTGTAACATACCCACATACTAGACCTTAAATGAACACAACATTATATGTCAACTATGCCTTAATAAAGTTAGGGAGAAATAAATTTGAAAAGGGAAACGAGGGAAGTGGCCCACAGGGTGCAGCAGACCTCTCCTGTCTTGCCAGCTGCTCCCCTCAGCAGTGTTCAGTCAGTCTGCCTGTTCTGTTCCCCCTCTGTCTTGGGTGGGTCCTCTCACACCCCCACCCACAACTCTGGCCTACACCAGAGGCCAGTTCTTGTATGAATAAATAAATAAATCTTTTTAAAAATTAATTAAAAAAGGGAAAAACTTGTCTTTCTGGCTCTCATTTAACAGTTTGATAAATGAGGCAGACAAGGCCACCAAATACCTTAGTTCCCTTGCATCTTTCTAAACTGCGGGTAGAAAGGCTTTGTTCTTTACAGCCGGGGTCTTTGCTTGAAAGCCTGGGATGAATTCACCCCATCCCCCCACCAGTGTCCCATTGTATCTGGGGTAAGAGCCCCTAGGTTGAAAGACTGCAGGGAAGGGGGCTGGTAGCCAGAGGCAGACTTACTACATTCTTTACCCAGGAAAGCAATTTGAATAAGGTTGAGAATGTTTTGGGCTTGTTGGGGTTGCCTGTGCAAGTGGTGGAGGGGGAGGTTGGAATGGGCTTGAGTCTAAGGCCACAAATGCAAAAATGATTCTGAGAAATCTTGATTTTACTTTTTTCAATTAGAAAAAAGTTTTGCTTTTATTTATTATTATTTTTTAATTGAAGTGACATTATGACAAATATAGTTTCAGATTATCTTTTTGTTTTTAATTAAAATATTTTTATTGAAGTAACATTGCATTATAACAGTCTAAAAGCTTCAGGTGTTCATTGTTGAGAATCCACATGTGCATATAGTCCCTGGAGGGCACGAATAAGTCCAGTTCTATCTTCAACAGACCATTGTCACCTTTAATTCCATTTACCCCCTCACCCAGATTGTGATGTTATACTTTATTTTCGTGAGAACATCACCTGGGAAGAAGAAAAAAGAAAGCTGAATATTAGAAATAGCAATAATTGTTCAGATAAGATATATGCATCATTTATAGGCACTTTAGGTCATTCCTTTATGAGCACAGAGCTCCCAACTTTCCATCAGATTTTGCTTATTTATCAAGGTAAAGAGGAAAATGTAATATGGATGTTATTAGCCCTTAATTCTCAAGCACAGGATATACATCAAACAGAGGTAGAATTATTGAATTTACTATTGACTTATCACTTGAATTTACTTGAGTATAACCTTTTTATATTGTCTTACTCAACCTACTAAACCCTTTCTGTAAGTCATCGTTCTGTTGACATGTACACATATTTAGATTTACTTAGTGATTTAACAAACATTTTTTGGCCAGGAACTATCTGGCTATTGCCTTTCAACTAACAGTTAATAAATGCCTATCATATTGTTATAGGACAGGGAGAGGGTCAGCCCAAACCCTGCAAACCTGCCTATTCTACATGGGTTCTGCCATCCGCCGCATCAACACAAAACATAGGAGACTTTAATGGGAAGGAACTTTAATAAAACTAGGAAACAATACAGGAAAGGCAAAGAGTCTAGTTTCTAAATGAAGCATCCAGAGTTACCCGTCCCCTCGTGGGTAAAAGTCCATCCAAATGGGATTGGCCCAGAACAAGGCCCCAAAGCCTGCCACAAGTCTAAAGCATCTTCCTGTGGGGACCCACAGAAAAGGGTCACAAACAACCGGACAAGCCCGGAAGGAAAAGAGCAAAATCAACATCAAGATAAAAACTGCCATTGTCACCTCCCCACAGGTCTCACCCACATCTGTGTCACCCAGTCCACGACCAAAAGACAAGCGCAGTTTCTTTACGTGTCTCTAGGATCCATGCGTCTCCTCCAGGTCTCCTGGCTCCATCCTGTTTCCTTCCTTCCTCAGTCTCTTCTCCAGCTTCCCTCTTCCTGCTCAGCTCCACCCTCCCTTGGGTGGGGCAGGGAAACTCCCCCTTTCCTGGGGACCACCCTGTTACAATATGCCTGAGAGAAAAAAAAATCATCTCTGCTTTTGACAAGCTAACAATTTATAACAAAGATCAAAATAGACCAAAAAGACCAAACCAGACCTCCTCGAGTCATTCATTTTAGTATGTGACCATCCACCTTCCTAGTTGTTCAGCCCCAAATCTTACAGTTGACTGTGCCTACAAAATACAGCTAGAACCCAGTTGCTTCTGACTTTTAATT